GGTGCTCATGACGAGGGCTGGTGTTGTTTGCAAACGTATCGTTGAGACGATGTACCGAAACCGGGACCGAGTGGTAGAGAGACCAGCTGACGATCCGGGGCGTGAATCGGCTGATTCTACATCGATTGAAGGGATTCTGGTGCAGCAGTTTGCCGAGTGCAGCGGTTTGCCTAGTCGGCTTTTTTGAAAAGGCGAGTTCGAGGCTACCGCTGATAGTACCCTTGGCATCGTCGTAGGTGCTTCATTAATGATTGGTGATATCTCGTCGTGTAGATGAGACTCGAGGTATGAGTGAGACCACGTCGGGTTGACGAGTCTGAAGCCAAAGGGCAGTGCCCTTGTTTATATACCCGCTGTTCTGATGTCTCTGTTCTGATTCGCTGCTGAGTGGAGGGCGACACCTAACGGGTACCGTGGTAACGTAGGCTTCCACTACAAACCAAATATTATTTGTTCATTTTTTTTTTCTTTTATAAAACAACATACACCTCAGAAAACCTATTTTGTATTAATGTAAGTCTCAATTAACCTACCAGTCAGTTTATAACTACTAGAACTAGATTACTATTAAACTCCAAACGTGGATGCTGTAATATAATAGTATATAAACGATGATTTTTTTAAACTTATAAACAATTTCTTCAAGCAACGCTTTTTGTGCCATCAATCGACTATACTAAAACACTGGTTGGTTATCAGAGGAAGCACACGGAGCCATTACGTTCTCTGTAAACATACTTACATACTTAGGAGTGCTTAGGAGAACATACTTTTATATAGTATTTATCTATTATAGTAGAATATTAAAAATTTATTCTCGTTTCTGACAAATAAAATGAGAAACAATCAGAAACTTAACTTAAGTTTAATAAAAGTAACCAGCTCATCCCTAGCCGAGTTGTAATTGGATCACCCGTATTCCCCACTCGGTACTGGGTTCGAATTCTTGGATGAACGGATGGAATTTTATTTGTTAACAATAGGTAAAATTGTAAATTGATTTGACATGAGATTGTTTTAAATTAAATTTATTAAAACTTGTCTTTTTAGGCTAGACGGGAGCGTATTTGGGTTGGGATTCTGACAAATCAAAATGATATAATTTTATCTAAGATAATGCGAACTAGTTTTATAAGTCGGAATCTTATTGTGAAGCCCCAATTGTGGCCTTTAATCTGCGAGTGGTAACACTAGATCCTGGAATACACGCTCGACTAATTCGTCATCATCGATCACTGACGGGTGCTGATTGAGACCCATATTGAAAGCTATTTTTCCCTCAGCATTGAAACAACTGAACCATTACCTTGCAATATCGCCTCACTTTCCACTTTGCACACTTATATCCGTCGCCATCACTTTTTGCCCTTTTTCACCCAATTATGTCTCAGAAGACAGCGAATATATTTCTTTTGACGCTGTTACCAGCGTAGAAAAAACGAGGCGAACATCGCACAGTAGAAGATGAAATAAAAGTTACAAAGTGTAAAGGATGTACATATATCAAAAAATAATGATTGCATAATAAAATTGGAAGAACATAATTTACCTCCGTGTACTATCATCATATATATTGCAAAACTACAAAACGTTGATTGTTTATAGCATTTTTCAGTCAAATGAAACTTTTCTTCAACCAAATGAGACTTTTTTCAAACAAATCAAACTTTTTTTCAATCAAATGAAACCTTTTTTCTGTCTAATAAAACGATTTTTCAAGCAAATGAAAGCTTTTTTCAGTCAAATGAAACCATTTTTCAAGCAAATTAAACCTTTTTTCAGTCAAATGAAACCTAAAACCTAATGATAATAATTATGTAGAGGAATAAATAAATGACATTATAGAATATTTCGGAACAAAGTGGGGTAAGGAGACCCCACATTGGTAACCCTTTCATTACGTAAAATTTATTATTATTAATTTATTATTTATTATTAATAACTCACCGATGCTGAACACGCCTTTTCAAAAATAAAAGCAACTGCGAGAAGGATGTTAAGCGATTCTACCAACATTCTACCGATTCTACACTACAGTGTCAACACAATTACAAGTACTGACTGTATCAATTACGTTTTAGACTTAATATTAAAACTACCGGCAGCTGCCGCAGGAAAACCTCTGCATTAATATATATACATTTTATAACATTATATATTTACAAATTTCGTGGTCCGCTTGACCAATTAATATATTATAATTAATTAAGGTTTTTAGTTGAGATAAAAAAGTCAATGGCACGAGCGGGATTCGAACCCACGATCTTCGGCTTGATACGCCGCTGCTCTACTTGAGCTATCGTGACCCCGATCCACTCGGACACCAACTTATATATTTATACTATTCCTTTATATATAATCTTCCTATATTGAATTTGTTGAATTATTGAATCATAAATTAGTGTAATATTAATATTTAATCATCATAAAAATTATTATTAGTACTACCATGTCATTATTTATTCTTCTACATAATTATTATCATAAGGTTTTAGGTTTCATTTGCTTGAAAAATGGTTTCATTTTATTGAAAAAAGGTTTCATTTGATTGAAAAACTGTTTTTTTTGTTGAAAACAAGTTTCATTTGATTGAAAAATACTATATATGTAATAATTACTATTAAATGTCACTAAAAATAGGCATTTATAAACCGTTCAATTTCTTCATTCTACAGCGCAGAAAAAAGATAAATAATACATAAAAAGAGCTAGATGCCAACAAGAAAAATGAGCAACTACTTTGCCAAAGAAACAATGACTGGACAAATACAAAAACATGTATTTTTCAATATCTCTGCCAAAAGCCGAAGGTTGTTGTATGGTTTCAAAAAGTTGAAATTCTATTTAAAAATAAGAGTTGATATTTAAGGTTTACCGTCCCAAAATAAAAGTCAATTTTAAAACCACTCCCTTGAATAATTAAAATCATAGGCATTACGTAATGGAATAAAAAAAATTCTTTATCACTGGTGAACGCAAAGAAGAAAAAACCAATATTTTTTTATCAATCTTTCGTGTGCCACAAACCACGTGTGCCTTGCTCTGGAAACTGAAGGGTATCCTTTCATACATATTTTCCCTCACCATAAAATCAAAATGTACTTTCAATGTACCTATGTGTGAATGAGAACGTCGTTCTTCCCTATCCAATATACGGAATAAGGTGTTCCGCAAGGTATCATCTTTGGCCCCGTACTCTTTTCTGTATTACTCTACTTTTATATCTCTATTTCTGAATGTATTATTTCAACCCCGAAACTGACTCACTCCTCACATGCAGATGATATTCAGCTAATCCAGACCCAGCAGTGACCTTCTAATCCATCAGAAACATTCTCCTCTTTGGAAATATTGGATCAGACTTAATAAACAAACCTTAGCAAATAACCTTAACCGTTCGCCATTACTTTTCCTTCTATCTACTACAACTCTGTTCCTCCCCTCAACCTAATTGGGACTTTACAAGGAAGGAATTCTTACTTCCAGCCTTCACAATTGTCCCAAAAGAATAGAGCCAGAATCAGGCGGTACAAGCTACTGCAAAATTACCATCAAACGTCCGCCATAGATATAAAAAGGCCAAGAATACTTTCCCTTAAGAAAGTCATTTTCTATGACAGTCAGACAGCACTTAAGGCCCTGGTAAAGGCAAAACGTGTATGGAATTGTATGAAAGTCCTGGCAGACGTCAGTGCATCAATGCCCTGACCCAGGCATAGGTCCTTGAACATTTCGGACATATAGCCAATGAGAGGGTAGACATGTTGGCTAAAAATTGTCCAATATGAACTCTTGAGGCTCCGAACCCTATTGTGGCCTAGGATCTTTCGAAAAAAGGACACATCCAAAAATGAATGAGTTCAAAACACGACAGTTTCAGTCCGCCAGATATACAGTTTTCCTTTCATATATTTAACAAGATTTTCAGTATTTCTAATTAATCCTTAACCTTTTAGTTCTTTTTTGCAATAATTTGGCAGAATTTACTTCACTCCTAAACATTTTCCTTGGTTGTTCTTTTTTCCAGCAAATTTCTCAACACGTTTCTGATATTTTCTTTATCAATTGTTGACCTTAGTTTGCTCTCACCCGGCATGCACGTTTTATCCAGAAAGATTAATTTATCTTTTCCTAGTGCCATTTTAAAAGGGAGGATTTCTTGCATACACTCTTTTATAAGTAATAATAGTTTTCTTTTCTTGTAGTTAAAGCATAGATCACTATGTCGCATGACTGACGAGTTTTACCAGAATTTTAGAATTTTTTATTTTCTAATTTTTACCTGTTGCATGGCCCATATCACCTAGCCAGTAGGTAATTCTACAATAAAAATACAGATGATTTTACATTTTATAAATGGTTCACCATTGTTTTGTAATATTAAATTCATTAAAGACTACTTTTCTTTAGGTAATTTTTTTAAGGCTAATTTTTTGAGTTTATTTACTTCTCTTTATCCTTTTAACTTTTCTAAACTTTCCAATGTATGTTTTGTTCTCGAAACGTCCTATTTTATCATAAACACTGTTAAATCTTATTTTTCAACACATTTTTAAAATTAATAACTCTTTCTTAACAATCAACTAATTGTTAGTTTTTTAATATCCTACTATATTACTAATTTTATTTTTGGAATTGAAATATTTTCATAATTCAGTCATTTTTCATTGGCATTGATTAAAGTAATGTATACGTGGATTAAATTTTGTCAAAGCATAAATTTGGTAAAGGTATGAAGGAAACACCTGGCTGACGTTAAAAATTAATTCTGCCTGGTTTCAAATTAATCATAATCCTTCGCAGGATTAAGTGATCCATTTGAAATGAGGAATGTCAATTAGCCGGGCGTATCAGTCAGCAGCTGCCGGAATATCGGCTTAAGTGTCGAGCTTTGGCGTCGCCAAGTACATTAAACAAGATTGATTAATCGAAAACAAACACAAAAGGCCTTATAATTACAGTTCAGGCGACATGATTTTTTTTCCAAGCTGGTTACTTACGTAAAAATGAAGTTCCACCTTCTTGCTGTCCTTGGGACCGCATTTCTGCGACGGAGGACAACAGCCCGTATCTTCTGCGCATTGGTGCAGCAGTGTGCAAGAAGGGACGTACGTCTTTGAACTGGTCGGGTAGTGATCAGATACCCGGATGACTCTCGGCTGTGGGACTTTGCATTTCGCTTCTGATGTGATTTTATCGTGGTGATTTTGAACCTCCACCTGCGAACTCGGGTCGTCCACGCCACCTGAAATTGATACATTATCAGTAGAAAACGTTTTTTCATACATTAGGCAAGCCTTCAGCCCAAATTCGTAAATTATAATAGTTCGCATGGAAATAAAAGAGATAATAGTGAAGATGACAGAGAGAGGAAAATAGGCTCGGAGAAAGATAATAGAAAAAGATAGAATAGAAGATATAAAAAGAGAAAGTATGTAAGTGAATGAGAGGAAGAGACAAATGGATAGAGAGAGAATTTGATAAATAGATAGATATGACGATAGAGAGAGAGAGAGACATTTTGGAGAGATAGATAGATAGGGAGTAAGGGACTTTGTGATAGGTGGATAGATAGATAGGGAGGGAGAGAGAGTGAGAGAAAATTTGTGAAAGGTACATAGATAGATAGGAAGAGAAAGAGAGAATTTGTGAGTGGTAGATAGATAAATAGGGGGAAAGAGGAGGGAGAGGGTGAGGGAGAGGGTGAGGGAGAGAGGGTGGGAGAGTGAGAGGGAAAGAGGAGAGAGAGAGAGAGAGAGAGAGAGAGAGAGAGAGAGAGAGAGAGAGACCGACCGACCGACAGAAAAAGCGAGAGAAAGAGAGGGAGTGAGTTCGTGGTGGGCGGTTGTTTGTAATACGGCTGACAAATAGCAGGTTTTATTTTAGCTAAATTTTTGTACGGATGAAAGAAGATCTAAAGAAAATCTATCAGACTGAATTAAATTAAATGAGATGCTATAACGGTAAACGGTACATTACAAAATGAGAGGAAAACTCAACTTTGACCTTTCCTTTCCGACCTTTCCAAGTGGTTTTAGATAACAGGGATCATTAAAAGAAAGGCAACCCCTTGTTTCAGGAAGAGGCCCAAAATCCTTCGAGTAGTTCCAACTGTCTTACAACGTGAGGTCCATGCAATGATCCAATCAAAAACACAGGAGTTGACAAAGAAGAAACCGAAATAAGTACTGATCCTCATACTTATAAGTGGAACAGTTTTAAATGGATTAAATGTGCATCCCTTTAGATTTAAATTAGCTTGGGGGTGAATAAATTGCATAATAAAGAAAACCACAAAGTTACTTTGTGGTTTCTCGGGACATGAGGTACAGAATATAATGAACAGGCTGATCGACTGCCGAAAAAGAACGGCCTTCGCACTTATCGGACAGAAACCAAAACCAGACTAAACGGAAAGTGTGCTGAAGATGCTGTTAAAAAGGCATGAGAAAGAAAATCACTGAACGAAAGCATTAGGTGTGGTACAATGAGACAAGTTAAGAGATTTAAAAACCTCTCAAAAAGGAAGATCTACAGATGATGTGCATAACTGAAATCGAAACTGGCTGACTATCAGGATAAACAGACATCGGTACAATTCCTTCTTGTATGTGAGACGCAAGCCCTTATATGGTATAACAAATTTGGCATGGCAACATTAACACCATAAAAATAGCCCGAAGAGAAAAAAGAGCGCATTTTTGGGGAAAAAATTTTTTACATGGTACGCTCTTAATTGACCGGAAATACTGTGGAGTAAAAGTTTTACATCAGAGGTTATATCAACAACCCTCGGAATGTCGGAAAATTCACCTTACAGTGATGAGCGCAGAGTCAACGTCGAAACCGATGCGGCCACCGTCCGGTGTAAAAGTTAGAGTACTTACTTTAAAAAAAGAGCAATATTAAAAAAAATAAAAAATACTTTGTATTGAAGTAAAAAATTAACTCGTTTGTTCTTTTGAAATATCAAGACTCAGAGTGCTTCCAAATAATTCATAACAATTATAATTCAATTCAATAAAAAAATTCTTTTGATAAAAACTTTCATTTGTTGTTTTTGTCATAAAATGAGGGTGAATTAGGTGAGTGAATTCTACATCTTTCATCTTTATTTTTAACTTTTCTTGTTAGCTTATTTTTAATCAAGTTCGTAAGTTTTCATTTCAAAACAGTCCGGATTTCCGAGAGGTTCCATTGAAGTCTCCTTTTTCGAATGACGTTCCACAGATTTCACTCTCCTTTTTAAATGAGACTTTAAAAATGTTTATTTATAACTGTTTTGTTGCTAAATTTCTTGTTATAAATCCTTTCACTACCATTGGTACAATTTCTCGATATTCTTGCTTATGTATAATACGTATTATATTTTATATAATGGACTGTGACTTTTAAAAAGGATTTTTGCTGTACCCTTCTTTCTTCCATATCTTTAAGCAAGCTTAACATTTTTCCAAGTTATTAAAAAATTGTAGTCAGGCTATTACTTTACAAAACCGTCTTAATTTCTCAAATAATAATGAATGAACATAAACCAGTTGGGGTTAATCTTTCGTCAAATCTTTAAAAAAAAATGTCGAAAGGCGTCTGTCAGTTCCACCCAGCAAGGATTGGAAGACCGAAATAATCGGTAACGACCAAAATAAAAAAAAGTATTAAAAGTATTCACTAATGTACTGTTATGAAGGTACTCCAATAGCCTCTGTTTTGTACTGCCCGTTTTATTAAATTCTTCGCATCACTGGATTAAAGGGGGCAAATCCATTTCGAGATTATTAAAAAGAAGTTTCTTAACATTGTAAAAACGTTGATCCGGGAACGATCTAGTGAACTGGAAAGTTAAATTGAACCCGCTATCAACTTTATCGCATCCGGCCCGCGGCTGCTTGGAGGAATTGGCTTTTTGTACATTTTTCCACGCCAATCCCAAGAGAAATGTGTACAGAAACGAAGGAACTTAGCTGCTAATTCATTACTCTGTCTTGTAATTTAAGGGCTAAATTGCCACAACATTATACAGGCTCCATTAAAACTTCCCTTCCTATTTAACTTTTTGTTTCACCAGGTTGAATTATTCTGCCTACTACGTGTCAAAACCGCAATAAATATATATGGCCGACGTGAAAGATTTCTTATAAACGTAACTTCTTTTCGCTAAAGCTTCATGTGAAAAGAAAATATACTTATGTTTTTGTTACTATATTTGTAAAATATCGTTCAAAACCAAGTGGTATCAATGCAACCAACAAATCATTCTCTCTCTCTTTACTTTTATCTCTCTTTAAATTTCCCTACTTTTTCTATTTCTTTATGTCTCATTCTCTCCCTATCTTCCTATTTCTCTCTCTCTCTCTCTCTCTCTCTCTCTCTCTCTCTCTCTCTCTCTCTCTCTCTCTCTCTCTCTCTCTCTAACTGTGTACATCTACCATTCATTCTTTTTTTACCTCTTTATATCTCTTTATCTTTTTCTATATCTCCTTCTCTCACTGTCTCTCTCTCTCTCTCTCTCTCTCCCTCCCTCCCTCACCCTCACCCTCTCTCTGTTTCTCTCTTTGTCTCTCTCTCTCTGTCTCTTTCTATATATCTCTCTTTCTCCTTATCTCCCAATCTTTTTCTGTCTGTCGTCTCTCCCTATCTTCAGTTTCTATCTCTTTAACTTTATAAATCTACCTTTCATTATTTTTTCTCTCTTTATATATCTTTATGTTTTTCTATCTCTCCTTCTCTCCCCCCTCTCTCGCTCTATCTATCTATCTATCTCTCTTTCTGTTTGTCTGGTGATCTTTTTCTATCTGTCGTTCCTTCCCTATCTTCTCTCTCTCTCTCTCTCTCTCTCACTCTCTCTCTCTCTCTCTCTCTCTCTCTCTCTCGTTAACTTTATAAATCTATCATTCATTCTTTTTTCTTTCTTTATACTCTTTATTTTATTCTATATCTCCTTCTCCCTATCTTCCTCTCACTCCCCCTCTCTCTATCGCTCTATCTATCTATCTATTGTCTCTCTCTCTATCACTCTCTCTCTCTCTCTATCTCTCTCACTCTCTCTCTCTCTCTCTCTCTCTCTCTCTATCTCCAGCTATCTATCTATATTTTTAAATTGGTCAAATAGTTATTTAACTTCCTTCAATTTATATAAAAAGATCACCACGTTATGTTGATAGCTATTATTTATTTATCGGGTATTTTTCCATATAATTATATATAATTGTGAGATCCGAGTACTGGAATATGAATCTGAAATGCGCTCGTTACCGATCATTTTGGTCGCCTCAATCACTTCTTACAGACCACTCAAAACTAAGGAAGGATAAGAAAACCAAATGATCGAAAACGAACACATTTCAGGTTCAACTCTGCAGTCTTAATGAAAAAATTTAAAAGACTGTTGTATTTAAATGATTTAATATAATGCTAATGTTAAATAGAATTGTGTTTAATATTTTACACTATCTTAAACAAAACACAGAGGGAGAATAAATTGAACAAAATGAAATGAGAAAATTCTATAGAGCAAGTGAATAAAAGATAGGATATGATCCATAAAAACTAACATTATGTGCATCCCGTTCTAAAACTAATTGAATAGACATTTGGACAGAAAAGTTATTACTTTATGATTCTCCCATATCGGGATAGGAAAGCGCAATCTTCCGGTGGCAAAAACGAATTCCTCGAAAACATATCATTTGCATAATTTCTTCCTCCGATTCGTACGTGTTTATTTACTACACTATATGCCGGTGACAGATGAATGCAATCGACGTTGGCATGCAGGAAAGATCACTGACCGGAAGACGATCGTACTCAGATGTTTTCATTTTTGCTTAGTGCCGTAAGGAAAAACCCATTAAAATGAAAAGTCTCTGGGGTAAAATTAGATTAGGATGAACACGGCGTGATTGCCGCTTGGAAATAAAATAAGAATAAAAGAAAGTTTTTGTTAAAACCAATTAAGAATAAACTCATCAAAGTATAAGTTTTATCAAAACATTTAAATGTTGAAAAATGGCAAAAAGGAGAGGCGTATTTAGCCGAAGATCGTTGGTTCGGATCCCGCTCGTGACACTGACTTTTTTATCTCAACCAAGACCTTACCTAGAAATAATAATTGATTGATTGAAAGAACTAACTTGGTGAATTGACACGAAAACGCAAATGGGTTAATATTTAAAAAGTAAAAGAAGAATCACTTCACTGAATATCCCCGTGGCCTCTTCATAAGTTGTTGAGAATCCAATCCGATTA